CGGTTCTTTGGGCCGCTTTGTCTGCTCTTGCTGAAGTACATTTTTGGCACCGGCCTGCGACACCCAAAGTGCCTCCTCTTGACCCAGCCGTCTGCGCGCCAAAATGGGTCAGTCTTAAGCATTCCAGGGGCTTCCCAATTTATAACCCCCCTTCAGAAGATAGGATGTATGGTTTAAGGTTTTAGGGTTATAGTCCCCCTTGAGTAGATAGAATATGGCTAGGATCAGGGAGTGTTTAGGGTTTAGGGTTAGGATCATGGGTTCCCCTACTACTGTTAAAGGTTTAGGGTTGTGGGTTTGCAGTTTCACTAGTATTTTGGGATCTTAGCAGGGATTATATGACCCCCTTTTATTTAGGGTTTAGGGTTTAGGGTTGAGATAGGATCAAGGAGTCATAGAGGCCACTAGTAAATCTGATGGGTTACTATGAAATATTCTGGGCTACTCTTCCATATTATGAGTGCTTGGGAGGTCTAGGGTTCAGGATGTAAGGTTTAGCGCGTAGGGTTTTGCACTACTAGGAAGTAACCATGTGGTTTAGGTCAGTATATCCGCTATATAACCCTAGACCCTAAACCCTAGACCCTAAACCCTAGACCCTAAACCCTATCAACCCTAAACCCTACACTTAGGATCCTTTGGGTTCTAGGACCAGGGATTCCTGATACCCTTGGTTTCAAGCTTGGCGTTTAGAGTTTAGGGTTTGGGGTTGAGGGTTTAGGGTTCACGGTTTGGGGTTTAGGGTATAGCGTTTAGGGTTTCAGGGGTTTAGGGTTTTAAGGTTCACAGGGTTTAGGGACGGAATATGCCCTAAATGATGCCAGGATCCCGAGTGTAATTTCTGGTATAGTTCTTGATCAGGAGATCCCAGGGGACACCTGGTTTAGGGTTTAGGGTTTGATCCACAATTCTGTAATGAAGATGACAGGACAGTACTATAGTCATATTTAAGATTTTGAGCTTAGGCTTGTGTCCCTCCAGCTTTGTGCCCCGAGTCATACTAGTGATGGTGCCAGTTTTTGAGGTAGGTTCCCTAGTTCAAAGGGTAAACCCCAAGCCCTAAACCCTAAGCCCTAAGCCCTAAACCCTAAAACCCTCAATATGGGGCTCCATGGGTCTAGACTGGCTCCATTCAAGTACCCCTTCGCGTCTGAGCTTAGCCCAAACTTTTAAGGTTTAGGGTTTCCCCAACACCTCAGCCACCCCTTCTTAAATCCAAAGCCCTGGATCCTGAACTCTGAAACCTAAACCCTGAAACCCCTAAACTCTTAGCCCTAAGCCCTCAACCCTAAGCCCCTAAACCCCTACACCCTGAACCCTAAGCTCCTAAACCCCTAAACAAGGAACCCTCAACCTGATTCTTGACCAACACCCCCAAGGGTTTAGGGTTTAGGGTTTAGGGGTTTAGGGTTTAGGGTTTAGGGTTTAGGGGTTTAGGGTTTCAACCCCATTCTTGACAGGCCGATGAGAAGAGGCGACGAGACGAGGTTGGGCAGTCTCTGGGTGCTAAGGACTTGCACATAGGAATGTTTGGGTGATCAGGGTTTTAGGGTTTCTAGGGGCTGGGCTAAGGCTTTAGGTTGGGTACTGCCCCCCCGCGGTAACAGTTAGATAATGATTATAAAATGGTTATATATAGCTGTTAATAGGACCCCTAATATAAACTGTTACTGGGTGGGGGAAACCTTCAAAATCCCTAAGCCCTAAACCTTAAACCCTAAACCCTAAAACCCTAAAC